AGATGTGCACAGGTACCAAAAACAGATGATCGTAAGTGTGGTTCATCATACATTGAGAGTACTGTAAGATAGGGACTACCTTTAATTCAGCTTCCCCATCTCAGTACTAACCTGTCCATTGATTTATTAAACAGTTTGGTTGTAATATACAAACACCAACCACTGAGTGTCTGCTATCCATTGCTGTCAATCACTACATGCCCCACCCCAGGGCAGAGCTCACAGTTTTCCAGTCACTTCCATTTAGAAATCCAGTTCAGCCCCACATTCCAAGCATCTAACACATACCGTCAGGGCAAGTGAGCTAAGGATGAGAATTCTGAAATAAAGAGGGCAGGGTGAGTCCCTCCCTCGTCCACAGGCCCATTTTCTGGGCATCAGGGAGTAAGGATGGCAGGGCAGGCGGCACATTTCTTCCATTGCACTGAGGTTTCAGCTAGTCCCCCACCCCATGCCATTGCTTCTCCAGCAGAAGCCCAAATGCAAGCACACACTGGAACTCTTTCAGAGGCTGAGTCACCCCTCCCGGAGTCGAGCCTACATGCAGGGCCAGTCCTTTGGATGCGTAGACTAAGATTTTCTCCTCCCATTTTGACAAGGTTTCAGTCATTATTTAAATACTTTCCCTGTTCCTTTTTCTCCCTTTTCATTCTAGTTCGCCCATTATACATATATGTTCGTGTGCCGGATGGTGTAACCAGGTTTCTATTTAATTTTCTTCCTTTTTTCTCTCTCTGTTCTTGGGAATGCAAACTTTCTATTGCTCTGTCTTCAAATTCTGTCCCATTAAAATCTGTAGGAGGGCACTGGAGGCTGCGAGGCAACCTCAGCCCTCCCATGTTGATAGATGCTGGCTAACTGGGGCCCCAGCAGCCTTGGTTTGATGAGCTTGTGCCTGTGAACGGGAGCTGGGAGCCGGGTGCTGGGTGCTGGGTGCTGGGAGGGAGGCCCAGCAGTCTTGGCCCTGGCTGCTGGGAAGACACTTCTGAAACATGGATCTGGGGAACATATGAGGTGGGTGACGGGGGACCCTCTGACTTCTGCCACCTTTGTGTTCTTAGCCACCCAAGCTAGTTTGGAGTACAGCTGGAATTCATGAGGAGTGGCAAGAGGGAGGAAGGTCACTAGTGATGGCTCAAATGGCACAGAACCTCTGTTCTGACTGAGAAAGAAATCTGAAAACTACAAATAATTTCTCTCCAAATGTCCCTAACTGAATGCTTAGGATTGACCTTTAGGTGCTCTCTCCAACGGAGAAGAAAAAATCCTTCCGTGGTCTTCAGTCAGGGGCAATTCTGTCCCCAGGAGATGCTTTGCACTCTCTGGAGGTATTTGTCCCAAGTAGGGGTGGAAGTAGCATGGGTACTGGCATCTAGTGGGTGTGGGTAAGTGCCTTCGAGTCGGTTCCGACCCCCAGCGACCCTGTATAGGGTTTCCGGGGAGCTGCTGGTGGTACTCCCTGTCAAACAGCTTTTCCTTAGCAAGCTCAGGTTTTTCCTCAGCATCTACCTTGCCCTTGCGCTCTATCACTTAGAGGAAGTCTGTCTGTGACCGGCATACGCTGTTGTTGTTAGGTGTCACCGAGTTAGGTGGGACTCAAAGTGACCAGGTACACACCAGAAGTGCACAGCGTCGGGTCCTGCCCCACCCTCACCATTGGCGTTACTTGTGAGCCCATTGCTGCGGCCCATGGGTCAATCCATCGCTTTTTTATTGCCACTCCTCTTTTCCAATCACTCAGAACTTCTCTTATTTAGAGAAATTGTTCAGAAAGACAACGTAAGATCATCTCACAGAGGTGTGGTGTTGTGGGACAAAGCACTGGACCACATGGCCAGCAGTTCAAACTCACCAGCCCCTCTTGGAAATGCTACACAGTGTTGAGAGTTGGAGGCGACTCGATGGCAGTTAGTACCACAGAGCTGAGTTCCCCTTCCTGAAACCTCTAGAAGAAAACTTCTCAAACCACAGCTGCCAGGCTGCACTCACTTGGTAGGATTCTCCTTCTCCTTCTCTGCATCAGTGCCAAATTGTTTCTGACAAATGACCAGTCAATTAATTTCCAATTAATAACAGAGACAGCAATTGGGTACCAAATATATGCCATACTGATGTAATTCCTTCGTAAACATGATTTCTAATCCTTTTAACTATCCTGCAGCATGGCCATTCTTATTTCAAGCCAATTCCAAGACGTTAGCCACCATCCTAACGCCTAGAGCTCTGAAGAGCATTTCCAATCACCTGTTTTATCAATGAGATAGTCAAGGGGCTCCAAAAAGTTCCTGGAAAAACTCCCTATCTTTTCATGCCTTTCCACAAGCTCTTCGAAGATTCCTTGCACAGAGGAGACTCTCAGTCTAAGTACTTACATTCCGAAATACGTATCTAAATAATGTAAACAAATTTTGTATTTTATATTAAACACTTCGTATCTATAAGCTGATTCGTTTCAACTATGAGGACATTTCCAGTGTTCCTGACTTTGAAGTTAACCCGTTATTCCAACACTGATATTTTTGCCTTTGAAATACGTGTGTGTGTGTCTGCTGTGGAAGGAGAACGGAGCTGCCAATGGGCTGGCCCCTGGCCCTGTGTGACCCACACTTGGGAGGCTCCATTGCTCATCTCTCTGCTCTGGGCTCGCTTTGTACAAACAAGTGAATGAGGTGAGGACCCTCCCTAGCCTTCACTTGTTAACATACTGTGTTTCTGAAACTGAAACGAGTATCTAGATTTTTCTAAAGGGGAGAAAAAAAAGAAAAAGAAAGAAACCAAGCATGGTTGATGCTTCAATAATTACACACCACTTTAAACCTTGGGGGAGACGGTATCGTTAACACTAGCAGCCTCTTGTAAGGGCTGTGATTTAGACAAAGGACAGATGAGCTGTGGTCAGTAAGGATGGCCGACTTGACTTATCTGGAAGGAACTATAGCCAATCAGTATTTAACAGCAAGCACTCACTACAACCAATGCCAGTTAAGGTTCAGTAAAAATGAATTATGAAATTGCTCTGCCTATATCCTATTACAGGCTTCTTATGAATACTTGATTTGAGTTTGTATAATTGACAAGAGTTGGAAGGAGATAGGTCGAATGGCATTCCAGTTAGTGTGAGTGTTAGCGTAGAGGGCCTGCCCTGGTGCCGAGGAGGTGAGGGATGGGCTCACAGAGAGGGCACGCGGGGTAGGTTTCCACACTCGGGAGTAAGTGAACCTGTCCTATCAGTCAGCTCGGACAGCAATGGGCCCAGAGAAAACCGACGCAGACTTGAATACCAGGTGCAACACCTGATCACTGGCCACTGATCTGACTTTTTAAATCATCTCTCTGCATGCAACTTTGACACTGGTGGCTAGGTGAGCAGCAGCAGAGACTACGTGGACGAACCACACAGTGTCCTGTACCTGGTCATGCCCCAACAGGTGAGGCTGAGGTCCTGCCACATGCCCCCACACTTCGACTGAATGGCCATGACTTAGGAGACAAGTACAAACGACACCAGCATTTTTAAGAGATGGATGAAAATCAAGTGTCCGATCATTCATTTCCCTTAATACCCCTGAAAGAATCGTTCGTTCAGGAGATGTCTGATCTGAACTAAGAAACTGATGAAGCCACTGGTTCACGGGAATACAAGCGCCCAGTCACAGGTCCATCAGCAGCTTCGCTGACCTTCTGAACCATCAGCTGATGGCCCAGTGGAGCACCCTGTATGAACAACTGGCATGAGCTCACCAAGCAACTGGGGGCCAGTACCAAGCATGCCACTCCCAGCACACAACACATCATGAGGACCCCTCCCAGCACACACGTCATGAGGACCCCTCCCAGCACACATGTCATGAGGACCCCTCCCAGCACACAACATGTCATGCGGACCACCACACAAACTGCACTGCAGGTCTTTGTTTTAATAGTGCCTCATAAGGACTTTCTGCACTGAAACCACCACAATAAATAAGATTCAAAGTGTTAGTAGATATGCAAAATATTCTGTACATTTGTAGTTTCTGAAAGCTGGGGCAATTAATTCAAAACCCTGAAACGAGCACAGAATTTCCAGAGTGAAAATTCTTTGTAGTTGAAAGCAATGTCAGATGTCGACTTTATGTAGCTCGAGAGCGCCTTGGCCCATTTTGTAAAGAGAAGAAACGCATATGACACATTAGTGTGGTTTCTCAATGTCTGCCCACGAGGATCGGGCTCTGGACGACTGGCCCTAGCGGGTCCACTTCCACTCCACTCCGAACCATGAGTCAGCCCGGAACATGGAACGCAGGCAAAATCTGAGTGAAAGGAAAGCTAGGAAGAAGGATTCCACTGGGATAGGAAGTAGCTGTCTCATCTCATGGCAGAAAGCAGCTCAATGTACCCACAACCTTGAGTGTGTCCATCCTCAGCCGTCACCTCTACAAACGGACGAATCATTTCACCCGATGCACTATCAAGATGGGGCCACAGCCTCTACCGACGTCTCCCACTGCCCCCAGTCAGCAACTCTTCCTGTCTCCACATCCCGAGGGCCATATTCTCCGACACTGGGGAGAGACAGGTACCACAGCCCTGCCGAATAGGAATCACCCCAGAACCAGGTCCCTGCGCTCCCATAGCATCCCTGGTCCACTCCAAGTCCAGCCACAGCACTGGACACCGTTTCCTGTAAGACTCCAGGAAACAATTAACGGCTGCACGTGGCATGTGGCACCCACACTTGATAAATTAACCTCTCAGCACTATCAACCAATTAACAAGATCTCATTAAAACTCCAACTAAAGACGTGTATCACATAGGTAGGCTCTGGTAGGGTTAGACGCTTTAAAACATACTCATCTTTTTAAAACAATAATTACATGTGATTTTGAAATTAATGAATTCAATATATTATCATCCAATGAAAAATTTTATAAGCATAAATTTTGTGTTTCTTTCAAAATGAAAATTAAACTGCCAAAACATCAACTCAGCAATCACCAGCATTAAAAGATAAAAATACCTGCTTTTTCTGAAGTCCTAAGAAAGACCATATCTGATGGAATTCTCTGATTCTGCAAAAAAAACATAAAAACGTATTTTCATAATTCCATTCCAAAAGAGAAATAGTAAACAACTACTTAAGGTAATGTAGTAAATAAAATTGATGCTGACGTAATTAGCGCATATGGAGTTCTGATGTGACACTGTAGTTAATCACAAGGTCAATGGTTCAAAGCCTCCAGCTGCTCCTCAGAAACCCTAGACCACGTCCCTATGAATCAAAACCAACTCGACAGAATAAACAGCAGCAGGTATAATCTGTAAACTACAAACTAATATCTTTAGTTGGATTTTGGTTTTACCTCTAAGATTTTTCCCCACTTGTAAACCCCTGGTGTGGTGCCACAGGATAAGCACTGGACTGCTGGCCACAACATTGACAGTTCAAGCCCACCAGCTGCTCTCGGAAACCGTACACAGGGTCACCATGAGTCACAACAGACTCGACAGCATCTCACAACAAAGTGGACCACGTAAATGGCATTTCCAATGACTTGAAGACAGCGTCATTCTGATACATGGTGAGCAATGCCATTTCAGTGCCTTCCCTGTGCTGAGATCATGACAGTCACCTTCTCCCCATTAGACTGGTGAAGCTGATGGTCTCTGCTGACCTCAGTGCAGAGCCTGCCACCCACTAAACACTCAAAAACTGCAGAATTCATGAATGAATGCAACGTACTACCAAACACACAGAGCCCTGGTGTGGTGCTGGGGGTTACTGCGCCACAATGCACAGCCATTTGAACTGCAAGGTCAGTGGTTCAAACTCCCCAGCCGTTCCTCGGAAACCCTACACAGGGTCCCTATGAGTGGGAACTGACCCAACGGCACTTCACAACAACAATACAGCCCGAAGTGCACAGATAAGTGATGTACCCTTTCTCTCTGGCTGTTTTCAAGATTCTTTTCTGTCTTTGTCTTGGCGTGAATTTCTTTAGGTTTATTCTGTCATGGTTAATTCAACTTGCTTTTATCTATTTGCTTCTACATTTGGCAAAATTTCAGATTAAAGTCACTGTTTCTTCAAGTATTCTTTCAGCATCAATTGAGGCTATTTTGTCAGGGGAAGTAACAAGGCCACTGGGAAATAAAGACTTGCAGGAGTCAAGTTTTCATTGTGAAGCCTGCTGTCCTAAAGCCATGTCACAGGTTTGAGGTCAGGACATCTTCGCTGAGGTGGAGGTGGGGGGCTACAGCTGCACAGGCAGAATCTTCTCCTTTCCCCTCCTGTGCTGTGAGGCTCATTGCAACAGTCAGCACACTGAGGTGCAGAAAGCTGCCCAATGACGTTTAGGGTCACCAGAAAGAGCAGGCTCTCGGTCTACCTGATAATGTTGACTTCTACCACATCTCCTGTCTGTGCTGATGTCTATTTTCCATCATTGTTGCTGTTATGTGCCAGGAACTGGTCCCTCCTGATAACATGTACTGCGTATAAGAGATGTACTTCCTCCAACAGATTTGTTTGCTTTTCTGGCAGTCTGTGGTACTTTCAGTAATCCACTCCAATACCAAAATAACTCAAATGCATCAATCAGTCTATGTTCTTCCTTATTCATGACCCAACTTTCACATGCACATGAGGCCATTGAAAACACTATGCCTTAAATCAAGGGCGTCTTAGTCCTCAAACTGTTATCTTAGGTCCTGTGCAACAGATTTGCCCAATAAAACAGGTTGTTTGATTTCTTGACTGCTGCTTCCATGAGTGTTGATAATGGATTCGAGCAAAATGAAGTCTGACAATTTCAATCTTTTCTCCATTTATCGTGATGTTATTTATTGGTCCATTTGCAAGGATTTGTGTTTTCTTCACATTACGAATCCCACACTGAAGAATGTAGTCTTTGATCTTCATTAGTCAAGTATTTTAAGTCCTCTTCATTTCCAGCATGGAAGGTATGTCGTCTGCATACCGCAGATGGTTAAGTCTTCCTCCAATCCCAATGCCACACGCCTCATATAATCCAGTTTCTCAAATTATTCGCTCAGCATACAGTGAATAAATATGGTGAAAGGATACAATCCTGGCACACACTTTTCCTGATTTTAAACCATTCAGTATCCCCTTATTCTATTTCAACAACTGTCTCTTGGTCTATGGACAGGTTTCCTCATGGGCACAAATTAAGTGTCCTGGAATCCCATTCTTTGCAATGTTATCATAGCATGTAATGATGCACACAGTCAAAAGCCTTTGCACAGTCAGTAAAGAATAAGCATACAAATTTCAGGTATTCTCTGCTTTCAGCCAAGATCCATTTGTCATCACAGTGATACACCTGGTTCCACATCCGCTTCTGAATCCAGCTTGAATTTCTAGCAATTCTCTTTAGCTGTGCTCTTGTAGCCATTGTTGAATTATCTTCAGCAAAATTTTACTTGCATGTGACATGAATGATCCTGCTGAATGATTTCAACATTCCTTTGGGCCACTTTTTGCAATGGGCACAAATACAGAACTTTTCCAATTGGAGGGCCAAGTTACTGTCTTCCAAATTTCTTGGACTAGATAACTGAGCACCTCTCCAGTGCTACAGTCAGTTTGATGAAAATGTTCTATTTGTATTCAGCCAGGTCCTGGCACCTTGTGTTTTAGCCAATACCTTCAGTACCACTGGTGCTTGCTCACAAGCTACCTCCTGAAATGGATGAACAGCAACCATTTCTTTCTGCATTTTTCAATCTTTTGCCCATGTTGTTGCTGTTAGTGATACTGAGTCAATCCTTATTTAGAGTGACACTATATAGGTTTTCAGGTTCAGCTGATAGCCACGAACTGTCGACCTTGAGTTTAGCAGTCCAGTGCTTATCCTATAGCACCACACAAAGATGCCATAGAATTCTTCAGTATTACAAGTAGGGACTTAACATTTTTTCTTCAATTCTTCCAGATTGAAAAATGCTGAGTGTGTGCTTCCTCTTTTGGTGTTTTACGTCCTCAGAAATGATGCTGGAAATCACATGACAGAATTGTGCAAGGCCCCAGGAAGTTATTGATTGTAAACACCTTTTTGAAACAACATAGAAAGCAATTTTACACCAACACCTCACCGGATGGAATACACAGGAATCAGATTGACTACAGCTATGGGAAGGTTCCATAGCCTAAACAGACCATCAACTGCTCATGTGCAAGTTCAGGCTGAAGCTGAAGACAATTAAAACAATCCATAAGATCTAAAATATGACCTTGAACATTTCCCACCTCAATTTACAGGCCATCTCAACAGATGTGAAGCATTAGACACTAAAGATCGAAGACCATAGAGTGGGATGTCATCAAGAACATTATACAGGAAGGAAACAGAAGGTCGTTAAAAAGACAGGAAAGAAATAAAACACCAAAATCGATGCTAGGAGACTCTGAAACGTGCTTTCCCGTTTAGAGATGTTAAAGCAAATGGACGAACAGCACCCAGGTCATATTTTCCAACTACCATTCCTTCCTGTTTCCTACTTTCAATTCTAATCACCAGTAATTATCAATACATCTTGATTGCATGTTAGATCAATTTCAGATCGAAGAAGCACCTGTCAATTCCGACCCATGGTATAACTCTGTATGAGGTTTCCAAGGAGCAGCTGGTGAACTTGAACTGCCAACCTTGTGGTCCAAACCAGTTTTGCAGTACATTAACCCACAGTGCCACACCAGGACTCCAACAAAGTTGGTAGATTTCTTCAATTTCATCATCATTGGCCAGTATCACAGCAGCATGCAAGCCACCACAGTGTGACTGTCTGACAGACAAGTGAATGATTTTTCGGTCCACAGAATCCTTCAGTATTGCAAGTCAAGGTTTGATTTTTATTTCTTCACTTCTTTCAGCTTGAGAAATGCTGGGTGTGCTGTTTTGGTTTCTAAGGCCAGATCTTTGCACATTTCATTTTAGTAGTTTCCTTTGTCTTCTTGAACTGCCCTTTGACATTTTCTATTCGGTTCTTTTACCTCCTCATTTCTTCCATCTGCTTTAGCATCCTACGCTGGAGAGCAAGTGTCAGAGTCTCTACTGACAGCCATTTTGCTTTCTCTCTTTCCTCTGTATAGGATGACATTTTGCTTTCAATAGTAATACAGGAACGCAAGGTTTCCATCCTAGGGATGTCAGTGACTAGCTGCACTGAACCCTGAACAAGGCACAACTGCTACAAGCTGAGAAGCGGATGGCAATGGAAAGGCAGGGTCAGAAGCATGAGTGATGGGACTTTACACAGAACTCCATGTCCATCAAAGCGTTGTCAAGGGAACAACATGACGGAAAGCTGTGGAGGCAGAGCACTGCTTCAATCGACATACCTGTCGGACGGCTGAAGCACTTCCAAGGGTCTTTGTGAAGCCAGGAAAGATCTGTGTGTTCACGTTCCTTTCCCTACAAGCTCTAAGGTGGAGTACAACCTTTGACTTGGAATGGAGTTTTAGTTAAACATACAGTTTGAGAGCCCTTATCTTATTTACATTAAAACCGAGAATAACCCAGAACATTACTGTAGTATGCAAACAACTATTTATATGTTATATGCTTTCAATCACTTAATGCTTTCTTTTTAACAAAGGACAGCTTCTTTAAAAAACTGAAAAAGAATGAACTGTTACAAATCGTTTCTTTTAAAAAGTCAAGTCCTTAATATTGTGCCTAAATTAGAAAAGCTGAAATTCACAGTTTCCCAACTGAGACGCACTTACTGAAAATATATTAAGCATGTAGAAGTTAATTAACCTACAGGAAGTGGATCTAAGACTCATCTCATTACTGAACACCACTATCAAAGCAACTTGAAATACATGGAAACAAGACGGGAGACACCTAAAGAAACGGACTTCAGGATTCGGTGCCAGGCTACAACGTTAGCTAAGTAACAACAAAAATCCGCTACAAAAATTCTAACTAAATCAGTCAGCAAGCAGTTACTGAGTCCCAATCACTCACCAGCTTAAAGTCTCATTTATGGTCTGACCAACTGTGGGACAATACAAAACCTCAGAATTTGAGTGAGACTCCAGGACACGCACATAGAACAAAGAGAAGCCACAATCACCTAGGGAGCCAGTCAGCCAACTCAACCTTGAGAGGATCAGCTCTGGCTTGGCCACAACGGTCGCGGTGTTGGCACAATGGGTTATGCGTTGAGTTACTAACTGCAAGGTCAGCAGTACAAATCCCCCAGTTGCTCCGTGGGAGGACGATGAGGCCTTGTGTTCCTGTGATGATTTACATCCTTGGAAACCTTACACTGGGTTGCTATGAGTTGGAACTGACTGGTCACTGCAGACAGCTGAGAATTCCAAGTGAGCACCAGCCTGCAAGACTACCAACACAGCTCCTGAGATCATTTTGGCAGGTGAGTCCATGGTTTTACCTGACCTGTCCTCCTGCTTGATGTCATATTTCAATGGTAACAACAGGTACATTAGAGGCACAAACCCTATCACATCTAACAGAGCACATAAAACACAAGAGACTTCCCAGTGGTCTCGCATCTAAACCTCACACACGAACCTCCTGCATTTGTTTCCGCGTCAGTTTCAGCCTCCCAGCAGGGCGGATGCTCTCCAATGGGGGCCGTCCATGAGCTTGGCGTCTGGAGAGTGCTCAGTGGGGGGAACTGGAAAACAGGCTCCAAGTCAGCAGCACGTGGTCTTCACCTGTCAGAACGCCCACTCCATGTAGTTGCCGTGTGTGTGTGACCTGCTGGAGGGCAGTGGACCAGCTCCCCACGGACGCAGCTTCCAGACTGATGATGCTGGCCTGCAGCATCTAAACCCATGCTGAAAGAGGCTTCTCTGGGACGGCACTGAAGCCGAGGGGTCCAGGCCCAGGCCTGTCCACCTCGAAACCTGTTTGTGCTCATGCTGCCCCTCCTTCAGGTTTGGAGAGAGCACTCTGCAAAGCTGGTGAGCAACTCACTTGTAAATATCCACACAATGACATTCATGGGCTATTTCAAGTCAGGGCAGAAAACAGAATGAAAAAAAGTTCAGCACCATGACAATCTCCACAGCTGGACTCCTCACCAGAAATGGGGGCTTGTGAATGAAGGAGAATGCCTGTCCTTGCTACTGCTGCACAAATGTCCTAGTCCTCACAAAGGCTGTGCAAACGGGCTGATCGCTATGAAATGCACACAAGCCTGCCCGTGCACAAAACTATTGTGCATTACGTCTCAAATGACCCGGGCACAGGAAACAAGTGCAACACGTTTATGTGAAGATGGATGTGATGAGTTTGCAAAAAATCACTCAAGGTGGGGTGGAACAACATATTCCAAAGGCTCATAAAATATCTCAGACAGCATATCCTCTAGCTCTGCTACCCAAATGGGTAGTTTCCATTTACGATGAGGTGGCAAGATTTAACCCTAGGGTGTCATTAGTTGTATAGATTCGGTCCCCACCTGCTTCATAGGACTCACTGGCTGTGATCTTTCAGAAGCAGACGGCCAGGGCTTTCTTCTGAGGAACGTCTGGGTAAAAGGGTTAACAGCACACAGAAGGGAGGATAGCACTCCTTTCCTCTGGACACCATCCCCAGCACGTTCATGTACAATACCCACATCCTCCAGCATGCCCACAAGCGCTGTGAGCCTCGTCCTCCCCAGTGTGCACCTGACCAAGGGCCACACTGGGACCCCTGTCGTGGGGCCTCTCACCGCCCCTTCTTACACTAACCGAAAGGCTTTTGGAACCTACCGGCTCTTTGAGCCCCACTCACCTTTTGTTCTTTGCATGTTTAATGCATTAAGGAATCACCCCCTAAAATTAGATACCACACAGCTCTCTGTATAAAAAAAACTATCTCTAAACTGTGATGAGAGAATAGATTCTAGAATAAACAAGTTCTAGGTAATACAACTCCTGGGTCAAGTGAAAAATTTCTGATGATATAACATTAGACAATTAACATGTTTCTTAGTTTATACAAAATATATGACTTACCTGCACACATTGAAAAATACTTCAGCAAAACAGAATATACACAAATTCTGATCTTTCTTCATCTAAAGCAAGACTGATGCCAGTGTTAGGGTTTTGAATACTTGTCTCCAATTTCTGTTACTTGCAGTCAGGCTAATAGTCAGCAAGTGACACATACAGGCTCCAAAATCAAGGAAAGATGCACCAACCTTCTCCACTATGATGAGGTCTCCCACCTGGATGTCTGAACTCTTCACTTGCACTTTACCTTGAAAAAAAGGAGAAGTCTAATCAATGGAAAGGAGCTCTGGTAGCGTAGTGGTTACGAATTGGGCTGCGAACCTAAAGGTCAGCGGTTCGAAACTACCAGCTGCTCCGCGGGAGAAAGATGAGGCTTTCTACTCCCGTAAAGATTTACACCCTTGGAAACCCTGTACAGGGTCGCTATGGGTCGGAACCGACTCGACGGCACTTAACAACAACAACAACAACAATGGAAAGGAACACAATCAGCGCTTAACACTCAGTTGCTAATGATTACATCAGAAATAACTCTGGGAGGGGAACACACACCAGCAATTTCTCTTTTCTGAAACTTTCATAATAAATCGATTTCAGATAGACATGGCGCTAATAATTTACTTCTTATAGTAAATCACCAAGTAAAACTGACTATCCATCCTATGAAAGAAGAAAGAAAAATACGAATTCCTTTATGTTAATAACTAAAACGAGAAGTCCATTTGGAAGAAGTCTGCTGCATTCTGCCATTGTTTCAAATTTCTGCCAAGTCAGCAAATGCTCAAAAACATAACGAAGTCAGCTAAGGAGGCATGAGATTGGCCTGGATGGAAAAACCTCTTAAAATTCATAATGTGAAGGGCACATAAGTGACCAGAGAAAGCAAATTATCTATGAAATCACCCAAAGCAGTTACCTTTACAGACCAGGTAAGAAGGACTGGAGATGTCGAAGAAACGTACACATAAGTGGTAGTACTTACAGGTAATATCATTGTAAAATACTTCCATGTAATGCTAGCATTTAAAGGTATCATTTTAAGATATTTCCACGTAATGTCAGTATTTAGATGTAATATCACTGTAAGGGACTCCCACGTAAACCCTAGTATTTACAGGTAGTATCACTGTCGCCTGAAAACATTCTACTGAATTTACTGTTAGGTTCACACTCTAAGGAACCATAAATGATCAGTTTCCTGCTTTGTCAGAAAATAGCAAATAGTGAACATTCTCTGCACCAATTTCTGTTAAAGTTCTCCATTAAACCCTTATGCCAGCATTAAATGGCCCCAGTTACCGTGCTCCAAAAGTCTGAGCTTGTGTGACTTTTCCCTTAGAAACCAAACACCCGTCTGCCTTGCTCGTATGAGCCATGCTGCCTGGCCCCTTGGCAGAAGGTTCAGGATGACTCAGAATGACTGGCTCCCTCACATCACTCTGATGGTTGGCTCACCGGTTCTGACCCACACAACACTCCACTAACTGTGTCCATTAGCAGCACTGCCCAAAGGCCACCTGAATTCCAAATGAACTAGCAGACAAAGGAGGAGTTCTGGGGTGGCGCTGTGGGTTCATGCGCTGGACCGCAAGGTCATTGATTCAAGTTCACTAGTGGCTTCGCAGAAACCCTATGCAGGGTCGTTATGGGTCGGAAGCGACTTGACGGCACTTATAACAACAAGAAGCAGAAAAAACTAGGAGACTTTGGTCTCGCCTCCACCCAAAAGCCCCATGATTTAGAGGAGAGCTCCCATTTTATCATGACACACAAGTTCTCCACATACAAAGTGACATCCAGGATCTGTCCTGTGCCCCACATCTGCCTCTATCCATGCCACTCTCACCAAGTGTGTTATCCTATAGCTGCGGGGGCTTGCTGCTTCGTCTGCAGAGCTCATGCCCCCACCTGAACCTCAAGAATCACAGAACAATGTAACCTCCATGCAGCGGATACTAGTTCATATGTCTACAGAGTGGTCACAGAGCGCTGCACACAAACACACCAGCATGTCCACTATGTGTCCGGTGCCCCCAGGTGCTAAACACAAACACACCAGTGTGTCCACTATGTGTCCAGTCCCCCAGGTGCTAAACACAAACACACCAGCATGTCCACTATGTGTCCGGTCCCCCCGGGTGCTAAACACAAACACACCAGCATGTCCACTACTCATCTAGTTCCACTGTGGGCTCAAACAAACACATCCCAGTGTGTGTACTCCACATGCAAACTCATGGTGGGCTCAAACACACACCCACCAATGTGCCCATTACATGCCTTGGTCCAATGTTGGGCTCAAACACGCAAACACCAGCATGTCTACTAAGTGTCCGGTCTCATGGTGGACTTGAAGCCCATCCGAAAGACCTAACAGGACATCTGGTTGTGCTTTACAGACCCAGAGTCGTCCTCTTAAAAGCAGGAAAGGCTTTTCTTACCACTAGGCCCTAATTTGCTACAGTGGGTCAAATGTCACGAGGGATGAGTGAGTTCATAGCACAAAGTCACGTCTAGTTTGACATTATGTGTAAGAGTTCTCTACTATTGGTGAAATGTCTTAATTATTTAAATCCCAGCAAAACACAAGTTTTCAAAGGGGTTGTTGGTCAACTAGGAAGCAGGTCTAGCTCTGGGTCTCAGACAAGTAGGCCCTGCTGGAGGACCGAGAGCTACCCACGGGCTTCACTTTTGTTTTCCACCTGGCCACTCCTTGCACTAAACCTTGGAATGAGGAAAGCGTAAGGAAATGGAACTCCTGACCCTAAAGATGAAGAGATCCGACAGGACCTGCAAAGTGTGCTTTTGAGTGATCATCAAAGGAGACTGGTGGACCCCATTTCTCCTGAGGAAGGGCCCTCCAGGCTTTTACTGGCTGACCCAAGGCCCTCTGCCAGTGCAGCATCCCCAGGAGCCCTGGACAGTGAAGCCTGGACTCCCTAGTACCACGGTCGAGTGTGCAGAGAAGGATGGACAGGCTCAGGAGCAGTCTTGGCAGGGGCTACTTGAGACTAGACAAGGGACAACTGATCCAAAGGGAGACCCCCACACTGCACTCCTGTTCCAGAAAAAAACAAAGGCAGTAAAAACACTGGGAAGAAAGACAATGAGGAGGCTTCAAAGTCATGGAAAGTGAAATTAAGACAATAAAAATTTTACAAGAACACTGTGAAGTCCCCTTATACTTGTGGATGACACACCATCCTAGAATTGTACTAAGAAAAGGTCATTTAGAAATTTCATAGGAGAAAAGAACAAACTATAAAAGCTAACTGTAATTCCATATATTTGTAACTGGAAATTTTAATTTCAAGACAATACCAGTCACAACATCCAAAATCATAAAATACTGAGTTAAATGTGACATGACACAGATGGCTAGAAAAGAAAACTATAAAACAGTGACTAAGTTTTAGAATGTGCTCCCCAAACTGAGCCCCAAATTCAATCAAATCTCTTCAGACAGGCCAGTGCCCTCCAAGACTGAAACTCAAGGGGAACATATGAGCAGTCACGTAAGCTCAGTAGGACTGCGCTGGTCTATATGTGAGTGGAAGTGGGGAAAAAGAGGGGAACACACAAGCAGACACGCAGGCTCAGTGGGACCATGCTGCTCTACATGGGAAGTGGGGAAAAGGCACCAATGAGGGCCTGGGCTGAGTGAGACCACATTCCATAGATGCCTGTCGACTTTGAGATGAAAGAAAAGAGGAAGGGCCGGTTAGTCTGAAGTTTGGGGAGACATGGGAACTCCTGCACCCATGGACACTGATCTAGCCACTGGGGGTTAGAGCTAAGAGTGAAGCATCCAACTGATACGAAGTGGGGAGAAATGTACAAGAATGCCCAAACTTGCAGATGGTATCCATTTGACCTAGTTTTGATGGCTTGATGATCAGAACTCAGCTAGAGGAAGATAAAGAAAGTTGACACAGGAAGCAAGTGTAAATTGCTACAATTTGATAAATTTGACCTACACTTACGGATGTCATTGCTCAAAATACCAGCTGACAAGGAAGGAGTCTTCACATCAAGGATCAAGCCTATCCCCTCTATACATGGTTGACAGGGATGGAAAACTTAGACATTGGCTACCTACCTAAAAGGAGGCAGGGGGACTATAAAGGTGTGATGTGGCTGGCTTATAAGTTTTCAAGAGATAGTTTAGTTTCAGAGTGTGCAGGGGAAGGCAGAATCCCCATAGATGGGTCTGGTGAAAGGACATGGGGATAGGATTTTTGTGATTCAATAGTAATTGTTACCATGATTCATTGCAATTGTCACAGCTGTAAAGGTAGTAGTTAATCTTACATTCCAGGAACAGAGGATCCTAGGACCATCAAGAAAGAAGAGCATGAGCAGAATGCGGGATGCTAACCAGAGAAGCAGTGACACCAGAGATGGAAGCAGAGGTGATGATGTGGAGGGATTGAGTAGCTGAGGATGTTAAACTCATGGAAAGGGAAAGGCTGTGTGCTGGAGGCTAGGAGGCAGGTTTTCAGAATGTGCCCTTTGGTTGTTTAAACGATTATATACTCCTGAGTGTTTCTGTGTATATTTAAAAAAAAAAAAGAGGTAATAGAAGCAAATACTGTTAACCAATAATGCATGGAGGAGATTATAATCATTGCAATGAAACAAAATATGATAGGTTGAGTGCAAAATCAGTGTTCTCGCATATCAACCATCTCTCGATTCACAATAAAAGCTTTAAGAAAAAAAAAAATTCCCATTAGGATTCCTGTAGAAATTGACTGATTCACACATTTGCTGTTATTGTTTGGTGTTTGTTATGGAGTTGGTTCCAACTCACATCAACTCTCAGCCCAACAGAAGGAAACACTGCCCAGTCCTGCACTAATTTCATGTTGGAGTCCATCTCGCTGGGGCGGGGGTTGAGCTTCCTCTTTCTTACAGATCATCTACTTTACCAAGCATAATGTCCCTCTCCACAGACTGGTCCCAAGTGCATGGAATCACTTGTAAAGAGCCTTCTTTCTGCCTGTGCTCCTTCCTACTCACATTTGTCTCTTCTTCTGGAGTCTACAGTACTTTCAATATTTTTGCCAACACCATGAAACAAGTGCATCAGTTGTTCTCTGGTCTTCCTTATTCATTGTCCAGCTTTCACATGCATCAAAAAACAAAACACAATGCCAAGTAGGTTGTAAACCTTTATAAATAGAGCAGAAAGCCTCATCTTTCTTCCACCAAGCAGCTGGTGGATTTTAACTGCCAACTTTGTGG